CATATTGGTGGCGGGGGATAAGGCCGCGGGCTTCCACCTCATGTTCCAATCTCAGTTGGATGAGTTTTTCGAATATTTTCGAAAAAACCGAGGTAAGGGCGATGGGACGGTAGCCCCGACCACCAGGCTTGGGCAAGAGAATCACGCGAGTCAAAAGCCATGAAGCTGGAAAGGAGTTCAGCAATGCCATGCGACTGAACAGAGTGGATAAAAATTCGTGCGTAGTGGCATTTATGACAACGCTTGGGTGGAGGGACACATAAAGTGAGCTTGAACATGGCTCTCGAAATGGAGATTGAATCAGGAATAGTAACTCCTGAAAAGACAAACTCAACCAAGCCGGATATTTCTCTCGGGTTCAGGGTTCTCCTACGGATTGAGATAATTTTATCAAGAGTTTCAGGTAGGAGTTTGGTGCTTATGGATTGAGGTGACAGATCCAGGTCAACGTCGTGAGCCAGGGCCTTTCTGCTAACTAAAGATGTAGGGATAAACAATTTGTAACCCTTAGATCGAAGAATAGCAGAGTTGAGAAGATCGTTAGCCAAGTTCCAAGATGAAGAGGAAACACGAAGTTGGTTGAGACCGTTGGACACGATTGAACGAGCAGGATCGCTCACCAGGGATTCCAGACAATCTGCAAAAGCAATGCGATTATATTTGCCTATTTTTCTATTTTCATGTATGGATTCTAATAAGATAGTAAACGGTGGGGGTGAGGTTGATGAAAATCTCGGTTCATCTTGAAAATTTTCGTTAAGCCAGATGAGACCATATGTTATTGGAGCAGATGTTGGAGGAATAAAGTTATCTATGGATGGTTGAAGAGTTGAGCTAGGAAAGGGAGAGGATATTGGATTTGACTGAGTTGGATTTGTGACGGGTGGTGAGGAACCAGCAACATAGGTGGATTCCATGTTTGATAATGATGTTGATGGTAGGGGTGAGGGAAGAGACGAATCGAGAAATTCAGACTGTGCCAGGGCGACAATTGTATTTATTATCGAGTTGGAAAATCCTGGTTTTTTATTAAGCTGATCCAGGGTTTTTTTAGTACTTCTAAATTTATTTGACGATCTGCCACGAGATGGCAGATTTGAGGCAGCGGCAGAACCCGGTGCGGGTGATGACTGCAAGCACGTGAGTTTTCGGTGGGGGGAGGGAGCCATAAATGTAAAAAAAAAAATTAAATAAATAAATAAATAAAATAAAAAAAAAAGAAATGAGTATATATATGGAATCTGAAAGCAAATAAAATGAAAAGAAATAAGAGGCAAAAATAAAACCGAAGATGGTCCCAGATGTCGTCTATATTAAATAGTACCTTATATAATATTTAAAACATGTTCATAAAATTACTGTAAGTGTAAAAAAACAAAAGATAAAATAAAATCCTCTGCCTTGGGTAAGTAAGGAAAAGGATATTAAACAAAAATATTAAAAAATAATTAATTTATAATGTGAGTGAGTAGGATTAAATTTAACTATGTAAAACAGAATGAATATCGAACATGTAAACAGTAGCAAATAATTAATTATCAAGGATTTGAATAGAATTAAAGTTGAAACTATAATTTTTATAATTGAAATAAAATTTTAGTGAGACTGTTGCAAGCAATTAACCGACACGAAATTAAATTGGTTAAGTGTTGAATTGTGAGTTTGTATTTATAGTAAAATAAAATCAAAACTTTAATCTTTGTGGTATTTGAAATAGGTTCAAATGTAATTGGTATTATTTTATTTAATTGAAGGATATTAGTAAAATTGTAAAGATAATTGGTTTATATTGTTTATTTATAAGATTGAATAGGTAGATGTCAAATTATATCAGTCAATTGCGAGCAAATAATTCCCATGTATTAAAACGAGATGAATATTGGAGCTGGGAGTCCAATATTTAAATAAACTGTATAAATATTTATTATAATTAATTATCGATAAAATAAGATTAAATATTGAAGCTACAAATTTTGTGTTTAAAACAGAATAAAATCAAAGTTTTAATTGATATATTATTTGAAATAGAATTGAGCGAAAATGTTATTGTTTTGAATTACAACCCAAGGTGAGGTGACAAGGATTAGTGTTAGGGTGTGTTTATAAACTTGATGTGGAAATAAAAGGAACGACTTTACCTTGTAACAGCAATAAAATTATGAGATTTGATTTTTTTTTTTTTTTTTTTTTTTTGAAGAAGATCCAGAGCGTCAGTTGAAAATCGAATCAATTACACCTCCAAAATGATTGAATAGTTCAAGTGAATGATACCAATTTAAATTCCAGATAAAAACAGTCCTCGAGTATATATATTTGAATGATGCTGACAGTTGGTTGATGAAAATGAGTCAACTTTATCACAGAAAAAAGAGAAAAATGTCTAGACCGGTCTATCCTTTTATCCACAATAATTGTACAATGCACTATGCAAGCAAACAAATTATGATATAGCGATTGAGCACATGGGTCGTGTGAGGAAAGGCCTCACGTTATGATGCTTGAGCTCTATACTTTGTGACGGTCGCAGAGCGAATCCACTGGTATGAAACTAGTATAATACCAGTACTCCGTACTCGTAAATAACATTTAGTACGCTTGGCTATCTGGGTATATATATGAGAGATTCTTTTTCAATCGCCCCAGCCCAAAAAGTCAATGTTCTGGGATTGGCTTCATACTTTGGTAAATTGTTGTCCTATATGACAGTAATAAATCCCTAAAATATAAACTCATTAAAAAAATATTTGTAGAAAGTAGAGGGGGTTGAAGTTTTGACGTTAAGGGTAACATTGTCATTTTCAAATCCGTATAACTATGACAAAAGTTAATGGATTTTAATTTATCTATAATGAATTTTAATGCATTTTTCACGTACTTTTCAAAAATGTATACGAAATTAAAAAAAAAAATTTTTGACCCCTTTTTTTCAAAATCAACCCTTATTTTTCGATTTACACCCCTTCGGGAATTTTTTTTTTATTTTCATTGGAAAGCTGAGGTTTTTTCCCCACAGAAAAAAAGGATGGTAAAAAGTTTGAAAGGTAGAGGGTAAAAGACGTTCGGGTACAGGGTAAAGGGTAAAAATGTGAAGGGTAAAAATGTTACTAAAAATCACTAGAAAAATGGACATCATATTTGAACGAAATGTCGAATTTTAAGAAAAATATGAGTAATTGTTCACTTAACTTATCAAATTCACAATTTTTATATAAATAACACACTACACATACAAATATTTTGCCTGAAATTATTGCCTATTAATAATAATACATGTGATTAATACGACTAGTTGACAGCAGACGATAGTAAATATCACGTAAACAATCAGAATTGGGAAACTACCACTCAAAGCACGAAAGCAGAGTTGGGTAGGAATTGAATTTTTTGTACATATTTTTCTTGTGACATTATTCATGTTAAAAATTTAATTAGTGTCAATAATAACGAAAAAGGCAAAAAGAAGTGAAAAATATTTTTGTTGTACTTTTAAATCTTCCTGTCTAAAAAAAGTCATGAGTAGAAAATGTCGAAGGAAAATCAAAAACTCAATGAACATATGAAGTGAATACTCGCTGGAAAAAACATAATTTGAAAAAGAGGGCGCTACGGTCTTTCTGTTTAATCATGAAAGCTAATGGTGTTTTCGTATGACAGCGCTTTGACATTATTCAGTAGTGTTTTTAAATTCTCGAGAATATAAGTTCAGGTAATATAACCAGGAAAATGACGGGAATTTATTTTTTTTAAAGAATTTATGAGAATTTAAGTTTAGTTACTTAAATTATTTATAATTATTATGTTTATCAATGTTAAACACGTGTATGACATGTGATTACCATTACATTAAAATAATCTTCCGATAACAATAAACAATAACACAATAACTTACATTAATCATTAAAAATAAATTACTTATAATTACCAGGAGTCAAAACAACATCTACTTGCAAAAGTGAGGTTATGTTATACTTTTTATTCCTTTCTATTTTACGCTTTACTCAATTTATATGTTTGTATTTAACCGTTTCACGTTGTTAAGTAGATGCTAATTAAGCAATATATTAGATTTTTATAAATTATTACCAATTATTGATTTATATTTCAGAAAATAAAATTCTCTTAAGTTCTCAAAGAATTTAATCTCATGTAATACGGTTGCGAACGCCATTCGCGAAACTATTGTGTGTTCGCCTTTAGTTTAAACATTGCACCGAAAAAAAATTAAATCTCAAAGTGAGAAGAACAATCCTCTCGTAATATACTTTTACATTTTATTCTTATTAATAAAAAAATATTCATCTTAAAGAAAAAAGATTTTTTGTTTTAATTTGAGAGGAATTTTATGAAAGGATGACTTTAAAATTTTCCTCTCCTATTAGAATTATTCTTTTACATTTAATATTATTTTTCTAATAATAAAATTATTTCTCTATATATATTAGAGAAATGAAAGATATATTTATAAAGGAATACGTATTTTTTTCAGTGTCATTTATGGAAACTAGAGATGAAATTAAAGAAAATATATATTTTAATAAAAATAAGTAATATGATCACCTTTTTTAAAAACATTTTTGAAGTTTATTAACCTAAAGATTCTCCATGGAAAATTATAACAAATTATATAACCTGTCAAAAATCTATTCTTGCGGTTATGATTTTTAATATTTCAATTAAAATTTAAACAATATTGACAAAGCATTTAAAAAACACAAAACTATTTTATTTTTGACGTGTGAAGTTATTTTGTTGAAATATTTTAAAAGAATCTTTACCTTTGTTACATGCATATAAAAGTCCAGAGACTTTATTTAAATATTAATTATTTTGTTTTTAAATATATGTGAAACTTAAGTTTCAAATTTGTAGTTTATTTTTTTTGCAATAATTTTTTTTAAATCTCGTTTTTCTCTTTATATTTAAAATTTGGTTTGAATAATTGTCAAACTATTTAAAAAGGTTAATGGTTAAAAATTTGACACCGTTTGACACAACATTGGTACGAGATGAATATTGCTCTTTATCTTAGAATATTCCTCTGTAATTGTACACTGTAAAAAAGGAAAATCCTCTCAATTATACAAGAATAATTTAGTGCCCATATATAAGAGGAAAAATTGCTGTGAAATAAGCAGATTCCTCTAACAGTGAGAGTATTTTTTTTCAGTATAAGAATGAACATAGAAAGGAATAATCGCTTGCATAAATTCAAACTAGAAGATGGTGTTACAGTAACTCTTTAATGTCCTATGATGTATAATGTCGAAAAAATATGGAAGTGTAAAGCTTTGAAATAAATATAATTTATTAAAAATAAAAAAATATATATGTAACAAAATTAAAGTATTTAATTTTGGCATGGTTGCGAGTTTGAGCGCAATTTAAGTTATTCAAAATGTTCTTAGAATTTTTTTATGATTGACAACTTATCTGAATAAACTTTTTCGGTGGTCAGTGTAAATTCCCTAGCGCTTTTTTCAATATTATGAACTGACTATCATTCCATCGATGTCCATAGAAAACGTCAGGTGTCAGCAAATCGTTAATCGATAAGCACATAAAATCTTCATTTATGTTGATCTCGTACGCCATTAATAACATATTGTGCTCAACAGTTGTTACTTTTCGGCAAACAAATACTGGACCATCATTCCTCCAAACGACAGCATGCAAAGCTGCAAACTCAGGTATATTCTGGTCACTGTAACCTACAGCTAAGAAACACTTTCGAGAAACATACTTTTTTCCGTTTATTTCCACCCAATTAGCAATCTGCAAGCGTCTTACATTTGCAAATAGCTCCCTAAACGGAAGAACATCGATAGGAACCCATTTCATTGGTCCTACAGTGATATCTCGTTCTAAATTTCCTTCTAATATATATGCCTGATTCAGCTGATGTTTTTTCGCTAGAGTCACTGGTAGATTTTTATAAGTTCGCAAACATTGAGCAATTCTTTTGAAATATTGGTGCTTAGATTCCGATCGCATTGTGGTATACTGCTGTAAAGGTCCAAATTTTCGAATCGCTCGAATTCGGTGTACCAAAGAGTGCTGCTTCGGAATTAAATCTCTTTCGTAAGCAGTTTGAAAAGTTTCAAGGTACTCTGATATGCAACTTTCCAAATAACCCAAAATAGAATTTTCTATTTTATCAGCGTGCGATATTAATATGACTTCAAGCATTTTCAAATAATTGTGCAACGGTGGCCACCCTTCAATAACCACATCTGAAACAATTAGTGGAAGCATTGTGACTAATTGTGCCATTTGTGACGCCGTCTGTTTCAATCCTTGTTGTGCATCTAACAATTGTCTCTCAGTAATAGGTGAAGGTTTTGAAGTTTTCTCTGTATAACCGTAATCGAAATTTCGAATTCTCCTGTTCAGTAGTTCAAGCGTCATTAAATGTAAATCACAACAAATTTTTTTTATAAACAGTTTTGTTGTTATAACGCAACATCCCAAGAAATCGTCATGTGTCAAATCAGGCGGTGTTGATTGCGTACCATCAAAGTCTTAAATTTCGTTAAGCACGCTTCTTCTATTGATGCCATACTGCGTTCTTAAAGCTGCTTTTGCTTGCTCTCCGACAGCTGCTTCAATTTCCAGAACTTGACGCTCATGTTCCTCTGGTGAACGAAGCTGAGTCGGATCTTCTCTGCACATAGTTTTTACATTAGTCATAGTTACTTTGCACACTCTGCAAGGATGAAGTGCACTAAATGATTCCCGGAAACCACACATTTGATGAACAGCCAGATTATCACCAATCAATACTGATAGTGTTCCGCAAACTTCCTCACCATTCGGTAAAAGAATACCATTTTGAATCGTCCTAAAGTCCGCAACAATGTACTGCAAAATATTGTTCATTCCATACACATTTATGTGAGGATTAGATACAATACCACAAAGATTAATGAATTTCAACTGTGATTTATATTGAGGAGATATATCATCGTCCATCCAATAAAACATACCTAATTTGTTTATGGAAGATGATTTGGAACCTACGGCATCGCACATGTCACATTCGTCATAATAAAGTTTTATAAATTTACATTCTGGTTTTCGTCTCTTAAAGGAATGATTTTGGAAATAGTTTCCATCCATGTAAGTTTCTAAGATGCCATCATTACGTGGTCTTGGATGAAATAAAACATTTCCAAATGAACCGTTCTGCAACCATCGGATTAAAACTTCACTAATAGGAATGTGAATAAATTCATCCTTCTTCCTCTTTACTGGTTGATTTCCATAAACTGTTGCTGTGCCGTAAGGAACAAAATTTTCACCTAATTCAATTCTTTGAGGTACCACGTAACTGAATTTTTGTTTAAAATATACATCTTGATTATGAATACTGCGAAGTCCTTGACTGCAATCAATGTTATTCACAATTTCATCGATATTTAGATAATCGTTTAGACGCAAATTATGCCTCTCTTGAAGTGTATTTGAGATGTTATTTATGTAATGATTAAGGTACCATCGTACCACTTCCTGCATCTTTCCTAAAATGTTGATCACGTCTTTATTTGTTGCTCGAGTACTACTTCTCAAATACAAAAGATATTCTCCAATAATTTGCTTCTCGGGATTATCAGGAACATCGTCATTTTCATCATTCTCGTCCTCAAAATCTGAATCTTCGCTGGAAAACTCATCATCCAGGACATTATTAGCAGGTTCATCAGGAACAGGATTCATGTCCACTGCTGCAAATGCCAATATAAAAGGTTGGAATAAGGAAAAATAAAAAATGATTATTTATTATATATTATTTATAATTATTTCAAAGCATAAATTCAAATATTGCAAAACCATAAGTTTTCCCATTTTGTCTTAGAGATCTAAGACAAAATAAGTAGAATTTTTTTTATCAGAATAAAAATTCTATGTTCCACCTTCTACAAAAAAAATCAAACTTGTTGGCAAAATTACATTTTATTTTTATACAAAATATTCAATACATAGAAAATTTGTCAAGAAAAATTTTATAATTCATTTCACTAAAACAAACTTCTTTCCAACGATATAATTTTTTACATTTAAAATATAGAATTTATTTTTGTTGACCTTGAATCGAAATTCAGTTACAGAAGTTTAAACTTAAAATCGACTCTTTCGAAATGTAGAGAAAGAAATTCAACAATTAATAAACTTATAGAAAAATACTCATTTTGGGGTCAGAATTGCTTATAAAAAAATTTTAAATTAATTAATTAAAATAGAATTTATTTAAGCTTTTCTTACAATTTTTTTGTAACGAAACCAATACGAAAAACCATGTGGTCCAGACATAACCTCTACAAAAAAAATCAAACTTGTTGGCAAAATTACATTTTATTTTTATACAAAATATTCAATACATAGAAAATTTGTCAAGAAAAATTTTATAATTCATTTCACTAAAACAAACTTCTTTCCAACGCTATAATTTTTTACATTTAAAATATAGAATTTATTTTTGTTGACCTTGAATCGAAATTCAGTTACAGAAGTTTAAACTTAAAATCGACTCTTTCGAAATGTAGAGAAAGAAATTCAACAATTAATAAACTTATAGAAAAATACTCATTTTGGGGTCAGAATTGCTTATAAAAAAATTTTAAATTAATTAATTAAAATAGAATTTATTTAAGCTATTCTTACAATTTTTTTGTAACGAAACCAATACGAAAAACCATGTGGTCCAGACATAACCTCAAAAATGTAAAGTTTAATATCATTTTAAATTTATTTATTTTATTTCGATTGCTTTAAGGTTTTGATGTATATTTATTTTTATTGATATAAATTCAACTTTTTATTTTGTATATTATTATTATTTTATTGTTGATCATTTTTATTTAAACAATTTGTTCTTGTAATTAAAAAAAAGAAAAAATGTAACAAACTAAACGAAGATATCTGAATTTCATTTAAAACATTACAAACATAAGCTTCATGCACCTTACTTTTTTTCTCGATATGATTATAATATAAAAATTAAATATCTTGATTATGAGCGAATTAAAGAATATTAAAAAGGAGAATATTTATATTATAAAGGATTGCGAAGGGGTTAATGAAAAAAATTGCAATTTTGTAGATAAATATGATTCTCTAACAATAATCGAGAAACATTATCTTATCTTGGATTTAGCAGAAAAAAGGAATTGTTAAAAAATGAATTTGCATCTAAAATTTTCTGTATGTTTTTAAATTTGTCGATAAAACATTAATTCAAACTTATACCATTAAATTTACTTACCTCTAATGAGATTCTGTATACACAATCTTGATAAACTTTGATGTCAGGAAAAACCTTTTTTTTCAATAGGTTTTCACTTTCTTTACAAGGACAATTAACAATCCTTTAATAAAAAGAATAAAACTTCGAAAACAGTAAACTTTCTAAACAATAGTTAAATTGCAAGAGAACTACCATCAAGATCATGTAAGAAAGAAATATAGTAATGAAATTCACACTACATCATACGGAAGCGCCTACGCGCCACCTTCTGGTTCGCAGGCACAAGCAAATTGTAAAGCCGCGTTTTAAAGACAGCACCGAGGCACGTAGGCCTAGTGCAAGAAGACTAAAATAAGAAGGTCTAACTCAGGTAGTGGGGGTATGGTAAGTATACGTATGAAATTGGTAGTTGCAGTAGGCAGATTTTCGAGAAAGGCAGAGTGTGCGGTAGACTTCTGCGCATACCAATACATACAAGTTTCAGTAATTCTTGACGAGGCAACTAAAATGTATATGTATTGGTGTGCGCAGAAGTCTACCGCACACTCTGCCTTTCGGCCTACCTCGAAAACCAATTCTTTACGTACCCCACTACCTGAGTTAGACCTCCTTATTCTAGTCTTCTTGGCCTAGTGTTTTTAAATTCTCGAGAATATAAGTTCAGGTAATATAACCAGGAAAATGACGGGAATTTATTTTTTTTAAAGAATTTATGAGAATTTAAGTTTAGTTACTTAAATTATTTATAATTATTATGTTTATCAATGTTAAACACGTGTATGACATGTGATTACCATTACATTAAAATAATCTTCCGATAACAATAAACAATAACACAATAACTTACATTAATCATTAAAAATAAATTACTTATAATTACCAGGAGTCAAAACAACATCTACTTGCAAAAGTGAGGTTATGTTATACTTTTTATTCCTTTCTATTTTACGCTTTACTCAATTGGCGATTCAAACAGCTACACTAGCGCCACAGTTGAACTAACGTAAGCGTGACTCGCTCTAAAGCAGTCTCTGTTTTGACAGTTTATTTCAAATTATTTAATTATTCTGATATTTTTATTGCGTTTGTAAAATAATTTTTAAGCTTTAAATAAAAAAAAATAATTTAAAACACATGGAGTGCTTTAGAGCGAGTCACACTTACGTTAGTTCAACTGTAGCGCTAGTGTAGCTGTTTGAATCGCCAATTTATATGTTTGTATTTAACCTTTTCACGTTGTTAAGTAGATGCTAATTAAGCAATATATTAGATTTTTATATATTATTACCAATTATTGATTTATAATTCTGAAAATAAAATTCTCTTAAATTCTCAAAGAATTTAATGCAGTAATAAAAAACGATTTTATTTTTTTTATTAATTTTATTATTGCATTAAATAGACCATTAAAAATAGAAACAAAAATCCTAATATACTTAAGTTCCAAAATTTCATTTAAGCGTGATATTAATAAAATTTGATTTTATCCCATACATTTTTAATGTTTGTTTGTCTTAAAGTAAACGTCCATCTTAAATTTCCCCCACCCAACTTGAATAACCTAATCACAATGCTTGCTTTGAACAGGCTCCCCTGTTCTGAGTATGTTTCCGTACTTTACGCCTCCATGTGATTTTGTTCTTAAAGACCAACACAGAATGACTCCGGTTACGGGAAGCATGATATAGAAAAGGACAGAGATTATCTCTGTCCTTTTCTATCTCATAATTCCCGTACCCGTTCCCGTGACTGGAGTCATTTTGCTTAGGCCGTAAGGTGCCAATTCAAGGCCTTTCTCCAATAGGATCCTAAACTCTTGCGTTGCGTATGCATTGCGTCGGTTGCTATTGGCAACCAATGCTAAAATCAACGCGTCAGTCACGCAACGCAAAAGGTTAGGCCCTCTCCAGAATGGAGCTAAACGCAACGCAGCGCAATGCTAAGCAAATGGGGATGCGTCGCGTATAGCTCCATTCTGGAAAGAGCCTTAGGCCCTCTCCATAATGGAGCTAAACGTAACGCAGACGCGACGCATCCCCATTTGCTTAGCATTGCGATGCGTCGCGTCTGCGTTGCGTTTAGCTCCATTCTGGAGAGGGCCTTAGGTTCCTATTGGAGAAAGGCCTTTAAGGGACAACAGTTGCAGCAGCAACACATGCGTAAGAAAAGGGACAGGCATAGCTGTGTCCTTTTCAATCTATCTATAGGTCCTTTCCTATCGGATGTGTTGCTGCGGCAACTGTTACCCAATGAAAAGGCACCTTTAGAATAGTTTTTTCAATGACAGTGTGACCTTACCCTGAGACGTTCAAATTACTGCTGAAGTGCACCTCCGATCCCGATTTTGAGTGTAAGTAAGTAAAGATTATTTATTGTTGTTTGTCGCTTGCAAAAAAGAGGTAGGTAACAATTTTATTATTTCAATGAAATAATCCATTTTAATAATAAAAAGATTACAGAAATAAAAAATAATAAAAAAAATAATAAAATATTAAATATTAAAATAAAAAAAGATTACAGAAATAAAAAATAATAAAAAAAATAAAATATTAAAAATATTAAATATTAAAATAATAAAAATATTAAAAATAATAAATATTACAGAAAATTATTATGGATTCTAAAGGCGTGAAAAGAGGAGCATGTACAGAATGCACAGAATGTCTTCAATTCGAATGGCACAAAGATGCAGTCAGCTCTGTCTGCACCTACTGTGGATGCTATCCCACTAAACATAAAAGATATTCAGAAGACAACAAAGGAGAAAATGCCACTAGTTCCTCTTGCGTATTAAATAACTCTTCGATTGAAACGTCTGAAGAGGAAAATAATAGTACTTCTTTTAATTCGATTGAAACTGAAGATTTTGACCGTACTGATGAAAGCGGAGAAATTTTGGAATGAAACGAAACGGTAAGAAAGATTTAAAAAAATGCCCTTTTTACAATCGCTGCATGTCAGGGCTGTTAAAAATCATGATTTTTTTCATTTAAATCGAATTTTTTATATGTATTTTTTAAAATGTTTATTTTCAAATTTTGACTTTTAAAAATTGTCGTTTAATTTTTTATAATTGAAAACCTCCTGAAAAAAATGGTTCATTTACAAATATTTTTACGCAATCAAACTTTTTTCCCAAGTCACAGTTATACAAATTTTCAAAACTGACGGAATTTTTGTTTACTTTGGCTTTTTTTATATAAATAAATTATCTACAACTTTACCGAAACGAATTTTCAAATAAATGTCCCGTTTTTCAAATTTTATTATTTAAGAAGTTAAGCGAAATTTTCTTAAAATTAAGTGAAATTTTTTTAAACACGTAATCATATTTGCAAAACAATGCTTTTTTGAAAATTCAATTCGGTGATGTTGAAGATATTTGTTTTTCACTATTCTATTAAATTCTTTGAAGGAAAAATGATCATTTTGATTTAAATCATAATTTAAATGTAAATGACCCTTTGATTTAAATTTATACAGCCCTGCTACATGTATACGTAAAATAATAAGAAAAGTCAGGAATATTTGCTCAGTATCTGCAATAAGAGAATTATTTTATGTTAAATTTCATAAAAATTATTAACTCTACGTCTTTGTTATTTCAGATTGATATTAGTTCTCTTATACCAAAAAAATTTCCCGGCGAAATACAAAAAATAATTGATGATAAAGGAGAAATGGCGGAAAGCCAAAAAAGCTTTATTGTAAGATTAATTTCAGGAAAATTAGTGGATGCGGGGTTGGACAGCCCAAGTGTCGTCCTCGAGATGTCCATTCTTTTGACTAATGCATATCCAAAATATTTCAAGTGCCCATATGGTGAAGATCATGTAAGTTTATGAAATTAAAATTGTCAACTCCGGTAATCGCCAAGTCGTAAGATGGTTTAGTTTCAATTCTTTACTATTTTGTCCTCGTCTTATTCCTAAACGTAATACAAGAATTGAAAAATGGAGAATCAAATATGAGACAGTGTCAACAAATATTTTCGTATATGCATTAAATAGGATCAGACGTACGCTCGATTTAAGAATTCGATGAAATATTTAAAAACGAAAGCAAGAAAAGGAACAAATTCGCAAAGCAAGTCTTCTTCGGCTATACCTACGAATAAGAAACTTGGCATGAAGCAGGAGTTACGTTCAACAAGAGACACCTGAATGAAGGCCACTAATAAAACAACTGCTTCAGAAATATTAAAAGAGTGTCCCGCTTTACGTAAAAAGGAAATGGTAAAATTTCATATAAATTTCTAAATATTTCATTACGTTTCACAATCACAAGTTGATTAAATAATGTATGCATGTTTTTATTCAAATTTTTCAATTTACAGCTTCTTCTGGAATTTTCTGAAATTATAAAGTTACCTCTAGAAGATATGAGGCAAAATTGGTTGGAGGCTTTGCCTAAAATTCAAAATGTTCAACGATTATCCGCAAAAAATCTCACTGCCGACGCCCAGACAATGTCTGTCTTGTACCATCTTCCGAAACTATTTTCAAAAGCGAAAGAAAGTGGAAAAATTCTAAATTGTTATCGTGTAAGTATAAGCATGTTATATTTGGATAATACATTTTTCGTCATGAACCTAATTCAATTCTTTCCTTATTAAAATATTTTATTTCTATTCAGATTGTTAATATTTATTGCATCTAATATAATATATTTAATTGTGTTGTTTTCTAGAATGGAACGCCAATCGAGGAAACTGTTCCCGATGTAAATGAGGCCCCACAATTAATAGCCATCGCAAATGGGCCATTAAGTGAATTACAAACAATGTGCTATATTGATGGCATTCCCATTTTTGAGGCTCATGGTTGTGAAGCAATATTTCTATTGCTAGCAGTATATTGGTGTTTCCAAGTTCAGTTCCCTCAAAACGCTAAGCAGCAATTTGCATTTATTGCCATAGCTGTTTTAAAAGACGTGGCAATTAGGGACATTTCCGCAGATATTTTAAAAAAAATAACTTTAACAACTGTTTTAAAAAGTTGCGATTTATTACCCGCAATGTCAGCGAAAAAGTAAAATTATTTCAAAGGGATATTTCATCTTAAATGTTTCATAAAAAAAATTATTATTGTTTTTCTTCCATATTTTATCATAAATGTAAAAGTTTTATTTAAATATCTTTCGTTGCGTTCTATTTTTTCATTTCCTTTGAGTAAATAATAATTTATAACTATTTCTATTACGACATTGTATTTCAATAAATACTACGAATTATTTTATTTTTTTGTTTAATATTTCATCACTAAATGCGAAAGTGTTATTGAAATATTCTTCGTTATATCTTGCTTTGTTCATTTCTTTTGGATAAAAAATTGCAAATATTTCTTCGTTCAACATTATATCGTTAACTTATCCAGAAGAAACACTGTATAACAAGATTCATGTATTTGTTACAACTTTAAACAATTTTATTCTCTATTGCGGAGTTCTTTTTTTTACTTTTCGAATACTGGTGTAACACTGATATAATTCAACGAGAAAAATTCTACAAGAGTACAAATGTTTATCAGTTACATTCACCTATTGTTAATAAATATTTGTTCATTAAATAAATAAAAATTTATTCTTGACGTTTGTTCTATTAATTTGTTATATAACAAGAAATCCCATGAGATTGATAAGATCATACTCAACTTTCAAAAATTTTGTTCGTAAATTCGAATACGCCAATTTAAATTTTCCAATTTTGACACAATTGGATTTAGCAACCTCAACAAAAACTATATATTATTATTATAATTCCTTAAAACGTTTAAAATTTTTAGTGGATGCAAGTTGAATTGTGAATTTCTAGCACTGATTTCGAAGTTACAGATACTAAAAACACCTGAATAAATATTTTCAAAAAATACCATCAACTTAAAAAATTTTTGCCTTTTTAGTCGACATTTTAAATCATCTAATTTGAATCTATCAATTTCGGTAACGAATTCGACTTTGACGACCCTAAAACATCTAAAATGAGAATTTTCAGATAAGACAGCAATATTTAAAAACTTTTGATCGACATTTTGAATCAACAGATTAATATTTTGAATTTCTGGCATTGAATTCGGAATCATCCGATTTGAATGTAATTCTGTGACCAAATTCGGACTCAGCCACACGAAAAACATCCGAGTAAGTATTCTCAGCTTAATCCCTCAAAATCAAAAACTTTTTTAAACATTTTCAATGAGACGATGTAAATATCAAATTTGTGACACTTATTCGGACTCAACGACCTCTACAATTACCAAATGATTATTTTTTGATAATTCCGTCAACTTTTACTACTTTTTGTCGTCATTTTGCCTTAGAAGATCTGAATTTTTTAATTCTGGCACTGAATTTAAAAATTGTGATGGGTTTTTTGTCCTCGCAAATTTGAATTTTAAAACTCTGGCTCCGAATTGAAAAGTATTTTTAACTAATGAACCAATTAACTCTGAAAATTCTTTGTCATCCTTTTGGATTTGTCATTACATGAATGTGAAATATTAGATAAAATAGGACTACATAAAATCCTATGTTCCGATATAACCTATAAAGGTTCAGGTCCCGATTAAGCAAGACACAGCTATGACTGTCCTTTTCTATTGCATGTGTTGCCTCATGAAAAGACACCTTTAAATTTTCCTCTATGAGAATATTCTCGGATATATTCTCGAGAATATATCCGGATTTTAAACTACCGAAAATTTTGCGACTGTCTCCTGCATTACGTTTTCGAATTTGTTTCACAAACTCTTCTGCTTTATTATGGTTTATAAAATGTTTGTTAAACAATGTATTTCATACATATTTGGACACTAATTAAATTTTTAACATGAATAATGTCACAAGAAAAATATGTACAAAAAATTCAATTCCTACCCAACTCTGCTTTCGTGCTTTGAGTGGTAGTTTCCCAATTCTGATTGTTTACGTGATATTTACTATCGTCTGCTGTCAACTAGTCGTATTAATCACATGTATTATTATTAATAGGCAATAATTTCAGGCAAAATATTTGTATGTGTAGTGTGTTATTTATATAAAAATTGTGAATTTGATAAGTTAAGTGAACAATTACTCATATTTTTCTTAAAATTCGACATTTCGTTCAAATATGATGTCCATTTTTCTAGTGATTTTTAGTAACATTTTTACCCTTCACATTTTTACCCTTTACCCTGTACCCGAACGTCTTTTACCCTCTACCTTTCAAACTTTTTACCATCCTTTTTTTCTGTGGCCATGAGCTATGTAAATATGAAAATGGGACAACAATAATTTTGTGAGAAACAGAATATTAAGGTAGGCGGTGCTGATAAGGGGTATACCTGGAGATCATCTTTGAGGATTATAGATAAATTAAAATCCTTTAACTTTTGTCATAGTTATACAGATTTGAAAATGACAATGTTACACTGAGAAAAATAATAATGTAATGGTAATAAAATAATTTGGTAGAGCACTCTTAGTTAAGATTACAAAAATTTAGTTGACATAACAGTAACGAAAGAAGCAATCAATCGAGAAATTTAGTTGGCTGTACCAAAAATTTCGTTCAAGCTTTTGCGTCTGTTACCTGAATAATTTGGTTCTCCAAACCAAACCGTCTGAATGCTCAATTGCGCATGCGCTGTTCTCGTAAATATGGCTTATTTCTCTGTTTACGGATGTCACACGTTAACCATGCTTCGCTCTTCGTGTCGTCCAGTTTTATTCAAGTGTTTTCGGGATTTTTATGTGTTTCAGAAATTGGGTAAAAAAGTGTGTGTAGTGATGCATATCGAACAATATGATCAAGAAATGGATAAATGTGGGAAATATGTTCGTTCTTCATGTAAAAATCGGACCATCTCATTAGAAAATATTTCAAAATATTAATTTTCTTGATTGAAGTGATAGTTCTATCATTTAATTTACTGAGTGAAAAAATTTTATATAGGAAAATGGTCGGTATTAATTACAAAAACCGTAAGAACTCTTGATCTCTAATGTTCTCAACTGTCAAATGTCACTGTGTTTTGGTGAAAAGAAAATATGCAAATAAAATCTCGAGCACGTCAATTATGATCACGAGAATTTATTGGTTCGACATGCATCACTAAGTGCTTACAACAAAAAATTCTTTATTCTCATATTTTATAACATGGCTGTCGAGAGAATAAAGCTTGTTAAAAGAACGGAAGTTTTTCTTCAGCCTGTATACTTTATGACAATAATTTACACTCACATTGTCACTAGGATTCTTAGTGTAGTGGTCAGCGTTCTTGATTTGCGTTGCGTAGTCTGAGGGTTCGATCCCCAGCAGTGTTAGGTTTTTCCGCAATATAAATTAATTTAAGTAGACATAGGGTGGTAGGTAATATAAAGCGAAAAGAATAAAAGAGGATAACAAAAGTGATAAAATTAAGTGAAAAATAAAAAATATAAGTGTGAGCCAAAAAATAATTTGGTTGAGAAAAGAAAAAAATTTTTTTCATTTAACTAAATTTTTTGTTTGCTTAAAAACAATAAGTTAGTTGTGCAAAACAAAAAATTTGGTAGACCGAACAAAATGATTCAACGAAAAAATTTAGTAGCCCGAACCAAACGGATTAGTTGCACATATATCAAATAAAAAATTTGGTTTGGAGAACCAAACTTCAGTAGATGATACCAAACAGTTTTCTCAGTGTACCCTTAACGTCAAAACTTCAACCCCCTCTACTTTCTACAAATATTTTTTTAATGAATTATATTTTAGGGATTTATTACTATCATATAGAACAACAATTTACCAAAGTATGAAGCCAATCCCAGAACATTGACTTTTTGGGCTGGGGCGATTGAAAAAGAATCTCTCATGTATATATATATAATTTTAAACAATATTTTATGTTCGTTGACTTCCGAGAAAAATTTGAGAGATTCTCAAGACCAAATTCATAAAAATGCAACATATAATTGACCATGATTAAATACATCTTTGCGTAGATCAAGTCAATAATCTTAAAAGTTTGCTTATCAAATTAGTAAACAGATAATTTCAATTAAATATCACAATAACAAAGAAAAAAGAATAGGGGAGACCGGGACCAGGACATCGTCTGGTAAATAAAACTTGTTGTCCATAATCTTATGAACGTATTTGAAACCTAGAGTGTATCTATCATCTCCCATAAGTTTTCTTTGAATCGAAAAATAACACATGATGCTGGGGTATTTCGTGACATGAGCATCAGGGGACTTTCGTGACACATTACCCTTTGTTAAATTAAACATTTATCTCTTTTATATCACAATGGTGTGAAATTTATATTCGCAAGACTCTTGCTCTGGAAGGGGAAAAATTTAAGAATGCAATTTCCGCAGTATTAAACGACGGTATCTCTGTAAGAAGTGCTGCAAAATAATTTGGCGTTGGCATCATATAACAGTTTTATCGTTGCCGCCACACTGTTCACATAAACTTCAACCCTTAGATAGGAGTGTTTTTGGTTCATTAAAAAAAGTTTCGAGTTTCAGGAATCTGTCCTCTCAATCCAGACGTTTTTAGCGAAATCGATTTCTTACCCGGTCATGTTATTAATAGAGAATTTGTTGAAAAGGACCATTCACAACCAGTCTCGTTCAACGGAAATGATATACCCAATACTGCAAGGTCAGGCATAATCGACGATAACATTCCCTTCACCCAGGTTCTGGAATTCACCCAGGTTCGATCATTTCCAAAAGCGGGAGAAGGAAAGGTCACGAGAAGAGGTCAAAAACGCAGGAGATCTGCAATTCTGACTGACGCTAACGAGATTAACACATTGGTAGGAGAGGTGAAACAAAGAGACAAAAAACGCACAAGAATGTAAGAAAAGATCCTTCTACAGAGCAAACAGTTCATAGACGACGTGGGCGCCCAAGGAAAGTATAGTTCGTGACACTTTTAACGATAACTAAAATAACAATTCATAATCATTCCCATTCTTCTAAAATTTGACGAATAAAAAAGTTTTTTTTATAAATTAATGTATTGATTTTTTTAATAAAAAAATGAAGGGTAGAATGACAAAAGGGGTCAACGCCAATTTATCGAAAATGAGGTTTTTGCATAAAAAAATCAAGAAAATTCATTTACACATTTCTGTAGAAGGATTTCCTTTTTTATTGCGTATTTAAATCAGTTTTTATTAAAAATTAA